CATATCTCTGAGTTTTGAGTGGGCGCATGTCGCCAGTATGCTGCGTTGCTGTTTACATGCATGAAAAGTGTGTTTGAGAACGAGTCTAATTGCATTATAGCTGTATTTAGAGAATTTTAGACTGAAACATAACCCAAATACAGCTATAGTGACCGTATGTTGTATTCGGGGGAAGAAGGTACAACAGGCTGGCCTTCATCCTTAACACTCTTAAAGCGTGCAAAGGGTCTCGCGTGACGCTCCCACGGAGACCCGCTTGCCAGTGTTCGGAAAGGCGGCGGGGCAAGGGGCGGGCCCACGGGACACCTTTTTTTTTTCTTTTTTTTTTTCTTGAAAACATGAGCTCCATCTATTGGTGGTGAGCAGCACCTGCTGGAAACCGGGTCCAGCGTCCCATAGATACAACCATATCCTCTCAAATTGGCACCAGCTGGGAACCGGGCTCACGGCCCATGAGTACGTTCAGAAAAACCATCAGAAAATTTCATGACCGTGAAACTAAGAATGTACTAAAAAAATCCAATTGAGGGAATTTAGAGCTACTTCAGGGCTTTTTTGTAAGGGACTTCAGAGATAATAAAAAACCAGAAGAAGACTCGGGAATCCACCAACAGTCCACCTCACCCCACTCGGGCAAGACTTACTGCAGCAAAGCCACCATCTCTACTGCTGCTATGCCCCCACGGGACACCTGTGTCCTTTTTTAATCTTTTTTTGCGTTTTGTGGGCTCGGTCGCGTCGTTTCGTTGCAGACTTAGGGCCTCGCTGGAGTACGGAGAAATATGTTGCTTATCGTTTTTTGTCGTTTTGTGGGCCCGCTCGCGTGGTTTCGTTTTGGACTTAGGGCCTCGCTGCACTGCTCACGAAACTGAATCTACCGCTAAAGTCTTCCCCCGAATACAACGTACGGTCATTATAGCTGAATTTAGACCGAAATATATACCAAATTCAGCTATAATGACCGTACGTTGGGGGAAGACTGTAGAGTACGGAGGAAATACCTTGCTTATCTTTTTTGTCGTTTTGTGGGTCAGCTCGCATCATTTCGATTTGGACTTAGGGCCTCGCTACACTACTCACGAGACTGAATCTACCGCTAGAGTGCGGAGAAATACATTGCCATCTTTTGTCTTTTGCGCACGTAGATCCATGGCCCGCGCCGTTGTTTTTCTGCGTCGTGAAAGGGCGGTGGGGACGAACGGGATGAGTCGGAGGGGGTGCGGGGAGGTGGGGACCAGGGCAGTGGACGCCGAACGGGGGGAGGGGCAACGCGAGGAGCAAAAGAGGGACTAGCGGGGGCAGGAACGGGATGAGAGAGAGAGAGAGAGAGAGAGAGAGAGAGAGAGAGAGAGAGAGAGAGAGAGAGAGAGAGGGCATTGG